GTAGCCGCCGTCTCCCAGCTTGTGCACCAACACGTTGGAACTTCCAATCACGCGTGGTGCAGGGCGTGTCCGAAATTAGGTCTGAGCTCATTGAGTGTTTCAATGGCATTCAGAGCTCTCCGGTTTGGGACGAACGCTCTGTGAGGGAGGCGGCAGGTCTAAAGCGTCTGCTAGAAGATGGTGAGTTTTCATTTTTTCTCGATTTTTTCTCCACAATATTCTATCACGTGGATGTATTATACGGCGCATTGCAGTCAAGGCTAATGGATGGAGCGTCTGTGCAGTCGTGTATTTCAGACTTCTGCGATGCTGTATCTCGTATCCGGGAAACAATAAAATACGACGACACATGGAGTGCTTCTTTACGCCGCGGGCAAACAACGCAGCGTTTGATTTTGTCTGCAAAGGAATGCTGTGACATTCTGGTGAATCAAATAGGCGATCGTCTGCGCACTGAACACTTTGCCGCGTTCTCTTTGATGAACCCCAAAAAGTTTTCAAAATTTGCACGTCAATTTCCCATCCATTTGTTGGCTACTATCTCCAAATTTTACCCCATGATAAACGTGGGTAAATTGGAAAATGAATTGCGATGTATATACACCAATCAAACTTTTTTGAACATCACATCAACTTGCGCGCTCTATGGGTTCCTCATAGATAACATTCTAGTAACTACCTTTGCGGCGTCTGCAAAATTTCTGGACATCATTTTGACGACGCCTATTTCTTCCGCCGACGCAGAGCGAACATTCAGCACGCTGAAGCGTATTAAAACGTATCTCAGAAACACAATGAAGCAAGATAGATTAAATTCCTTGGCTGTTTTATCCATTCACAGAGACGTTATTTCTGGGATGCATGACTTTAATCAGCGCGTTATTGAGCATTTTGCTTCCAAGAAACCGCGGCGTGTTGCATATATGTTCAAGCAGTATAAGTCTAGCAGCATATATATCTATGAGTGAGCGACGCATGTCCTTATCTTTGCATAACTTTCCTTTCTTCATAATAACGTTTTAAAACTTTTTTTAGGTTTTGTCTGCTTTCCCAAAGTTTCTGTTAATATGTCATTGTATTTATCTGGGTAAATATTGCTTTTCCTTTTGAAAGAGGTTTCAATCCAAAATAAACTGTCTATATTTATTAATCCCTTGACTTGGACCGGGTTTAAAGACACTTCCTTATCGTTAAAAATTGTCGCTTTTGCCGATTGGTTATTACCGATGGAATGGTTTTTATACTCATAAAATGATGGGAGAACTTACAGCGCTCATCCTGTCCCCGTAGATGGGGGTGACTTGGTCCCGCAGTAGCTTGCCCCGGTTGTCAAAATGACCACGCGCCGCCACTGGTTTCTGAACAGGGCCAGTAGCTCCACGTTTTGTCTGTATATCAGATAATGAAGAAGATTGGACTTGTTAATAAAGTTATGGTTTATATTTTAGTCATGCTTCTAATGTTATTCTTTTCAATGTGGCGTTTTCGTTTTGGGCAAAATAAAATAAGGAATGTAATTATGAAACAGTGATGTTGTCTTGTTTAGTATATAGATCTCAGTAGATTATACGAATATATTTGTCTCGAAAAAAACTATCTAACTATTTTCTGGAGAAAATGGGCTACTGGATGTATGTAGCTAATTAATATTACTTTGAATGCATGGTATTTAGAGATGGGCTCAGAAATTCCATGGTGAGGATCAAGTCTCGTGTTCATGAGTTTTAAGAAGTTAATAACATGTTTATATTCAGTCACTTCAGAAGCCATAGTTTCAATTACGTTATGGTATAGATGCACCAAACATCGCAGATTAAGATTGGGCTGTGGCAATGCAGAATGCATGATTAGTGCAACGGTACGACTTAACCGGTATACCGGTAGGTGCTCGCCACTAATACAGTCTAGTAATACTGTAATAATTAGTTCAGAAGATCCAATGTGCTGCAGAGACACACAAATAGGTTCGAAGTTCACGATGCAAACGAAGAGACTTCATTAAAATAGTGTAAAATCCACGCTTAAAGCAGATAAAATTAGAGCGACAAAATACGGTCCTTACTCAGCGACAGCGAACGCTGCGAACTGCAGCCAGTTCACATATGCAGGTTGGTTGGAGTCGGGTAACTGAAACCAACTGTCGGGCGAATTAGGGCTCAGACTCCACACACCAATACATATGCAATAACCAGACAAGAAATAAAAATAAAATAATAAACAATAAAAAATAGTACAACTCCAGTCCCGCCACATTAGTAATGCTGGGTATTCACTAGAGATATGGGCTACTATAAAATCATTGAACTCTGTTTGACTTGTAAGTGGTGGTGGTTCGATAATATTGGCGATGGAATAACGCGGTTGAATAGATTTTATGAAAGGAAGAAACGTGTTTGAGGATAAAGAAAAACATCCAGGCCGGAAATTCTCGCATATAGTAGGCTAATTAATTGCCTCAATGACGTGTTGTTACATGTCTTTGATTGACTCTTTTGCAAACATCCCATTATGATTGTGTCATACATACCAACTAAAAAAAATCTTATCATAATTACCGAAACACGGTCGAAAACCCAATCGTGGGGCACTTGGGCCCTTGACCGCGAATATGTGTACAGTATTGATACATAGGCCCTACAGTGTGTATTAGAACCGCAGAAATCACACCACGGAGCTGCCGGCGACAAAGCGTTCAAATGGGGATTCCACAAACGGCTGCCGTTCTGCCGGGCATGTGTGCAGCGGCCTCAAGGCTATAACCAAGTATAGGGAGAATCATCTTGGGATGGGGCCATGGGGGAAATTAAATTAAACAAAAGCCACACACAGGTGAAAAGAATGATTTTTTTATCAATAAAAACGTTACATATAGACACTATATCTAATAACACATTTATATAAACACAGTAACACAAATACAATTGCATTTCAGAAAAAATTCAATTAAAAAAAATTATAATGGATGATTTGACAAGAGTGTGCAATGCATATTTTACCGCGTGGGAATTATTTCAGATCGCTGACGTCTACTGAGACAATTTTCTTGATTGTGGTTGGTAACATAATTTCTGGCAATCTATGGTTGTCGCCGGAAATAATATTGCAAGTTATTATGCTTAGCAGTTAAGAATTCAAATTTCTCTAGTCAGATGAGTACATTTTGAAGTCGCTGCCGGTAGAGAATGGTAGGTACAGCATATACAGGCTCCAGCACCGGTGTACAGTACGGTACCGGAGATGGGCATGGCAAGCATGTTCTAATGCTTCAGTCAGGTGTGTTGATTCTTAGCGTTTATGATTATGGTAATCAATTACAAGAGGGAAGGTTGTTGGTATAGACTGGTGGGTATGGTACCATATGACTCATCAGAGTCAGTTGCCACGAAATTGCATACCATAAAAGCAGGTAACGCGGGCGGTGTGGCTCAACGGGCTAAGCGTTAGGAATACGCTCGCCACCGCACCTCTAACTACTCTGCGTGGGTTTGCAGGTTCGAATCCCATGCAGGGATGGTTATGTGCGAGAGGATTGCTGGACTCCTCGCCGTCGTTGGGTGGTTCACGTAACCGCTGGTCGGTTACGGCTTCCTCCACCACCAAGTCCATGCTTCCGAAAACAAACAATACAGTAAATCTAATCCCATACCCGACTTGGAATGGTAACCGGACGAGAGGCCGTGGTTCGCCATATGAATAAGCCGTCTTATCGGCTTTCCTCTCCCCCGGGATAAATATGTAAATCCTATCCTATCCTAAAGCAGGTAACTTCGGATGGTTTGTAACTTCAGATGAAATATTTATTCGATTATATCTCGACTAAATTGCGTCATATTGTGCTTATGGCAGTTTCTATAGTGAGGACTTATATACCCAAGTCTGTTATCATATTCAACCGCACAGTTTAATTTATTTTTTGATTAAAAAAATCACGTTTTAACATTAAATTGACACTCGGTTTTCGAGCGACTCAAATCGTGACTTCTACTGATGCTAACTTCGTCAAAATAGCGTCATTCGATAGAGGGCGTTATCAATGTATAAAGAAAATTAGACTGATTGGGAGATGTCGTAGGAGACCCGATGAAAAATTAAAATTCGTATAATTTTTTTTATCACAATAATAGCATCTGACGCACACGTTGAACTTGACGTCACCCTGACGTCGCTCACTTCGAAGACGACGTCATGTTGCGTCGACGTTACAGATTTGATGCCAGACTTCAGGGCGCCGACGAGTTGGCGTAGATTTGAAAATAACAACGATATTTTGTTCGATTGATCAATATCGGCTAAAATATACGCATCAACCATTTTCTGTGGATCGTAAATTCATGGCGTCAAATGCTGGGAATGTAATTCAATTAAATTTATTAAAAATGGCAGTTGTATATATGTATGTTTATTTGCCTCAAAAATTTAACTGTATCTGCATAAAAGGTAAACGGTATAAAAGAGACAGAATGCATGTGCAAGACCTTACTGGCCTAAGACACAGATGTGGACATGCACCCCAACAAGTATAACTGCAGTTTAGGACTGCTGCCTTATGGTAGGACAACAGACATGAAATATACAAATAAAACAAGTACAGTACAAGGGACAAAGAGGTACGGCATGACGATGATATGTACAATAGGCAGTTTATGGCACGTTCATGTCCCAGGTTCTGATGTGAAGGGATGGGAATAGAGTATAAATCACATTTGTGTGTTTTTTACAAAAAATTGTACAAAACAAGTAAAAATTTGTTTGAGACACGAACTTGCCAAAAACCTAGCACGAAAATTCGATTTGACGATTTCAAATTTTCCATTTGATATGGCAACATGGTTCAAAATAGAAAATTGTGAGCAGTCGAGAAATATTGCGTAAATATAAAAATATTTAACCAGCGATAAATAACAACAATCATTGTTGCAAGTGAGTTCTGTTTCGTGAATTTAACAAAAGTAATTTTAATAAAGCCAATTGCGGAATCTGTGTTTTGTCGTGATTCATGCACGACCAACATTTAAATAGGTCAATTTAATAAAGAAGCCGTGCATGCTCAATGATATATATTGTGCGACTATACATGGTGTGGAGTTTAAAAAACGCTATCAAAACATCGGCTATAACAAAATCGACTATGATTGGTGAATATTCGGATCTAAAGTTGCGATAAGAGAAAATAAAACGAGACATTTTAGTATAAAAACAACTTGAAAGTGCTGCACCGGAAATCCTACAATCGACATTATCATCGTCACTCGCGACGTGGATTGACCATCTGGCATTTACGCAACGACGTAAAGCGTGTTTTGTCTTCACGCAGGCACTTTTCGCTCTAATTGCGGTGTCGGTGACGCAGGGAGAGGATACACACATCCGAAGTTAGATATTTATTTGCTTTGTTACAGATCACAGAAAATGAAACAATTAAGACAGAAAAAATGATCCTATCGATAAGAAAATTATATGCAGATGCAGAGAATTACATCAATGTAATATATTTCAAGTTTGACACGAATTGGACAACAAACGGCAGAGTTATTGATTAAAATATAGTGAAATCATCCGAAGTTAGCTGCTTTTACCGTGCAGGACGTTAGTAGCATGAAACGACAACAGTACTGGTATCCATGACACAATAATATATGCATTGCTCTTTGATGCGCATGATGATTTTTTTCATGATGATGTTCCACAAAGTTTCATGCAGGCGATTTATTAAAAAACAAATCACTTACCAGTTTTCATAGATTAGATATGCAAAAAAATATTAATATGTTAGCCAGTATAATTATTGCTTGATCTGATTACCTGAAACGACATTTGTAAATTCATACTGGAGATTCTATGAAGTTACACATGAAGAGGTCCAATGTTGGCAAAAAGCCATATTTTTGTCAAACCTGTGGCGAGTCCTTTACAACATTTGCTGAGAAGAAAATGCACATACAAATTCATACTGGAAAAAAACCATATGCTTGTAAAATATGTGGAAAACAGTTTTCTCAAACTGGTGTCTTGAAACAACATTTGCAAATTCATACCGAAGATAAACCGTTTTCTTGTGAAATATGTGGAAAATGTTTTAGTCGAAAAGGTAGTATGGAATTACATATAAAGCGATTCCATGTTGGTGAAAAGCCATATTTTTGTGGAACCTGTGGAAAGTCGTTTGTAACATTGGGTGAGAAGAAAATGCATATTCAAAGTCATACTGGAGAAAAATTATATGCTTGCAGGATATGCGAAAAACGTTTTGCTCGATCTTATACCTTGAAGCGGCATTTGCAAACCCATACTGGAGAAAAACCATATGGTTGCAAGATATGTGGGAAACACTTTTCTCGATCTAATATCCTGAAACAACATTTGCAAAGGCACACTGGAGAAAAACCATATTCCTGTGAAACATGTGGAAAATATTTCAGCCAAAAAGGTAGTGTAAACTTACATATAAAGAGATCCCATGTTGGTGATAGGCCCTTTAAATGTGGAACATGTGGCAAGTCATTTGCAACATCTGATGAAAAGAAAAGGCATATGCGAATCCATACTGGAGAAAAAACATATGCTTGCAAAACATGTGAGCGTTGCTTTGTTAATTCAAGTCACTTGCAACAACATATTCGAGTTCACACTGGAGAAAAAGCATATTCTTGTATAACATGTGGAAAATGTTTCGTTCGAAAGAGTACTATGAACTTACATATAAAGAGATACCATGTTGGCCATAAGCCCTTTAAATGTGGAACTTGTTGCAAGTCCTTTACAACATTAGGTGAAAAGAAAAAGCATATGCAAATCCATACTGGAGAAAAACCATATGCTTGCAAAATATGTGAGCGTTGCTTTGCTGATTCCAGTACCTTGCAAACACATTTTCGAATTCACACTGGAGAAAAACCATATCCTTGTGAAACCTGTGGAAAATGTTTCAGTAGAAAAAATATTATGAGCGCACACATGAAGAGATCCCACGTAGCAAGTTGCTGAGAAGATAATGCATATGCGAAGTCATATCAGAAAAAAAAACGTTTTTCTCAACATTTTAACATGAAACGACCTTTGCAAATTCATACTGAAGAAAAACCATATGAAGCAATTTCATAATGATGAAAAAAACTAAATAGTCATTGGGACCTGTAAGACTAAGAGGTTGTTCATACCATTGGGTGGGAAGAGAAGGCATATTGGAATTCATACTGGAGAGAGACCATATGCTTGCAAAAAAAGTGAAAAATGTTTCCCAATATTTATATTCAAGTGAAACATGTAGGAAATGTTTTATACATTAGGGCAGGGTGGTCCAGGCCCGCGGGCCACATGTGGCCCGCCGCTTTATTATCTGTGGCTCGCGTCACATCCGGAGAGTTATCAAAAAATTGCATTTCGTGTTGTTTCGTCATAAAATCAATCAGAAAAATCTTTTGACATATTGTCATCACTAATGTCACTGAATTAAATAGCGTTATGGCTAGCTGGGGAAACTAGCGAAGTTGAATGATGTTCTTGACAGTCTAAATTGTTATCCGGCTTTCTAACTCTTTGGTCGGGAATAAATGCTAACAATATAGGCATCATAGAAATCTAAAAATCAAACGCGGATTCTTTTAGCCTAGAATGGCTATGCCTGATAACTATGTGTTTGCACAATAAAACTGTTTTTTTTTTTGTATTGCACTGTTTACCTATTCTTGGCACTATTGTGGCCTGCGGAGCCGACAACCTTGGACCACCCTGCATTAGGGAATACATAATCAATTAAATTATCTATGAAATGTCTCGTGTCAATTTATAACATATGAATCAGTCGTTTGAAACTTCATTCAGAATCAAGATGTTGTTACTTTTTTTGTCAAATTGATTATATTGGCACATTGTCTCTCTTGTACTTAAATTTTATCATTTTTGTATAGATTAAAAATCGGTGTTAATGTTTGCAGTCTTAATAATAATCATTGTTCCTTGCTTGTATTCAAGCAATATTTAGCTTTTTTCTAATTTAGGATGATTGGGAAAGTAGATAATATCATAATTGTATAACTGGTTATTATTGCTTTTTTTGCATACTTTCTTGCATACCGGTTTGGGACTTTAACTCTTGGATAAAACCGGTTGCATATGCAACATGGACTGGTAACAGTGTGAGATGCTTCTTATCGGCTTTCCTCTCCCTTTGGATAAATATGTAAACCATTATGATATAATATCATTTCGTCTTGGGTTTCTACGAGAATATTTATTCAACTTTCTTCTATTCTTTTGTGCCGTAAATCCAATGCAAAGTAGAGGTAAGATCCGGCCCAAAAATTCCAGCCCGACGCGGGCCCGTGGGTATTGAACCCGGCCCGAGCCTGAAGCAAACCCAAAATTTCACATTTTATTCAGTTCTTTGAATTGTCAGTGCAAAAGTTGAGTAAACATTAACTCATTTTCGCGTTGTGTTTCGAAAATTTAAATAGCACTTTGTCTTCCTGGGAGTTAGTAATAAAAATTAGTGTAGAAATGATGTGATAGATTAGGCTAAAATTCTTTACCGGTAATTAAAAAAAAAACAGATTGTTGTATGTGATGAATCGTAATGATGGTTTAAAACAAATTCAAAACGAAAATTTTGAAATTGTTTAAAGTATAATAAATAAGAATATTTTCGGGGGTCAAAGGTCTGGGAGAGGGCCATTACAGCAATGAGCATATATACAATGAGTGGAAACTTGCAAAGATTTGCTCATTGTGGCATTGTGCCCTGCATTTTTTACGTCGTCCAGCTAAATGGTTCGTTGCATATCGCTCGCTGCAAAATCCCTTGCTTCGGCCGCGCCGGTTGCGAAATTGGCCGTATTGAGGCTTTTAATTATTCGATTCGTGTTTGGATTTCGAAGTATGGTACGTTGAAAGCATATGCTTATTGGGAATGCATATCTATTAGCTATAACACAGAACATGAAGTCAAGTACGGTTATTTCTGATTATAGCATGGGATTTAGGTACATATTTATCCATGGGTCCTAAATATATGGCGAACCACAGCTTCTCGCAATCATAGTTTATAAGGCGCTCCATACGAAGCCCCAGGGCTCTCCGATTTCAAATCACTCTGGCAGTCTGGGATATCTTGACAATAAAAACGAAGACAAAAATTAGAAGACTAGCAGTGAATCGGCTTTCCTCTCCACGTGAAAAAATATGTTAACCCCATCCTATATCAATGAATACGAAGCCCCACGTTCCCCTTTACATGGGTGGTAACGAGTGGTTGGATTCAAATTTTTTGTCAGCTGGTTCCATCACAAAAGTCATAGTTTTCGGCCGGTTCTGTTACATGTTTTTTTGGTAATGCTGACCGATTCGCTGATCTAATTAAATTCCGTGAAACGGTTCTATAGAACGGGCTAAATCCCACCACTGGTCGTAACTACCCCCCCCCCCCCTTTGGTTTGAGAAATAATTTTCATGCGAAACTTCATCCACAAAAAAGCAGCACCGTCATTTTACGGTCGCGCATTGTGGTTTCGTCAAAACGATATTATTCTGCGTATTATCAGCGCAGTGCAATTAACACCGCCATACTTTTTTATCTTTACGATATTTTTTTTTTTTGGCGCTGATAATGACAAATAAGAATGCGTGATTGTTGATTGTTATTCAGTAACGCGTATGTAACCACCGTTATGGCCGTTCAAAATGAAAGAAGGGTTATGAGCTAATTTCAGGACATTCTCTTCCCGATTTCTTTTATTTTAAAACAAAGCAGGGCGCATTGAAAAGCAATATAGAATTTATTAACATAAATTTACCTACGGCTATCGCCAACAGACAGAAACGATGAATGTGAGAATTTTTTCGCCATCATATTTTTTAATTTTGCGTAAATCGCGTCAACATCGTTTTTGTAAATTTAGAAACGTTGAATCAGATAAGCAAGGCATGTGTGTGAATAATGTATTCTATGCAAATTTCCCGAGATATTGGGGAGAAATAATATTTTGACCACGTAGAAATGCCATTATTGCTGATTTATTCACGTGTTAAGTATCAGTGTTTCAAACCAAAACTGAGTTACGTGAATACTCAACACTGAGTATTCTAGAGATTACCAATTTGCGGAGTTTTTTAATTATTATTTAATATGAAAGTAACACGGAAACGATATAAAATTAAAACATAAAAATGTCAACTATCAGCTTCACAAATATCGCATCCCGGGGTCAGTAATGATAATATTGTTTGCTCAAAATTGGGGCCGTAACTGTGATACAAATCCAACACAGAAGATAAAAATCAGAATAAAATTAATTTTTGTTGTGAATACATTCCTTAATAGTTGTCTTTAACATCTCCGCCGATGTTCGTTAAAATAATCGAATAATTTTATATAAAAAAATACACTTTGCCCACCACTAATCACGGCGCATGTAAATAATCAATAAATGACAATATAAAATCAACTTTGTTAGCATTAAATTTCAAGTAAAATTTCCACATTTCATGATTCGATCGGCCCTACACGCGAGCGTGTATTTGTATATATTCACCAAACACCGTCAAGAAAACAGAGGCGAGCTACACGTGACTGTGGAATTTCGCTCTGAAAGACGGCATTGTTTTCAATTTATTACACGCCTCACGCCGTCGTGAATTGAACTTTTGGCGCACTGTTTTAATTTCACCGTATGCCCCCCACCCCGTTGGAAAAATCCTGGTTGCGACCCTTGTTTAAATTCTATATCTCACTATTGATTACATAAGTATAACTATATGGAGGATCGTTAAAATTAAAAAATATACATGCAAAAATCATAATTGATAACAAAATGTACTCTAAATAATAAAATAAAAAACAAACTTTTTTGTGTAAATTCACAAGACATGAAAATGGCAAATTTTAAATTTCAATGGCAAGATATCCCAGAGTAATTTATAGTTAAAACCAGTATTTTTAATAAGTATACGAATAGCTCACAAAGTCCAGGGGGTTCATATGGAGCACAGAGCTATTTGGCGAGGCCGTGGTTCGCCATTTATTAGGCTTTCCTCTCCCCCTGAATAAATACGTAAGTCCCATGTTAACACAGCAATAACCGCACCCCACGTGGCGACTGATTCATATTCTGTTCTGTAGCTACGTTTTCTGCCTAATAGATATGTATTCCCAGTATGCATATGCTTATAGTTTGTATGCTTTCAACGTACCATACTTCGAAACTCAAAACCGAACACGAATCGAAAAATTAAAAGTCTCAATATGGCCAATTTCGCACTCGACCCAGCTGAAACAACGGATTTTTGCAGAGAACGATGTGCTTTCTTCATATGCAACCATTTAGCTGGACGACGTAAAAATGCAGGGCACTTGGAAGTTTACACTCACTGTATATATGCTCATTGGTGCAAGTGAAGAGTGTCCCAACTTTCTGTCATGATCTTTTTTTTGGGGTTCGATATTTTTTGTGTCCGAGCTATCAAAACGTTGAAGCTATTCAGATACGAAAGAGTATATATAGGCATATCAGTGTGGTTATGAAATATTAACTTTTAATATTTGGATATCACGTAGGACTTGACTTGTTTCTGAGTTCCATAGCTTAGGTCCATTATAACATAGGGCATGCTGGCTCACAGATTTACTCATAAAGGGTATAAATAAATTGGAAAATCTATTAAAATCATAAACTTCAAATTTTATTATGTCCTCAACCTTGAGTATATTTAGCATTTTATAGTAGTGTTTTACACTTCCACGTTTACTTTAAGACCATTCCTAAAAAAATTATTACAAATACTCAAATACAATTTTGAGACAAGTGTTTTATTCCCATGGAGCCAGACTGAGCAACAATATCAGTTATTGCTAAGTAGTAATGATTGAAACATTGCCAGTAAAGCTGGTTGATTGACACAGTGGGATACTTTGGCAGCAACTGCCAAGTTTATTTTTGTTTTACTAATAATCTGTACTCTTTTTGATTTCCATGACAGATTCTCATCGAAGATAACTTCTAGGAATTTTATTTTTTTCATTCTTTCAATTTTATTGCCATTGAGCAGCATTGGTCTTGTATAACTAACACTTTGGTGCTTGCTTGTATGGAATAATACATATTTAGTCTATTTAGCATTGAGAGATGATTTATTAATCAACATCCAGTTGTGAATGTTGGCAAGTTATTGGTTTGCAACTGTGAATAGATCTTCCCAGAGAGAATCAAATTGGTGTCATCAGCAAACATGATTGACTCAGAGGATTTCAGACACCTGGACATGGCATTAATGTAAGCTAGAAAAAATAATGGGCCAAGTAAAGATCCTTGAGGAACTTGGTGCTTGTGCTTCATGGCACAAATATTAGTAGAGAATGAATTGTCGTATTGCACAACTTGTCTCCGGTCTTGCAGGTAGCTCCTGATCCAATCTAATGAGAGCCCTCTTATTCCATAGTGATAAAGCTTACTCAAAAGAATGGAATGGTCAATGGTGTCAAAAGCTTTTGAAATATCAAGAAATATTAGTAATAGAGTGTTGATTGCCTTAAAAAGCCTTGGTTAGCTTATGTACCAAAACATTAGCAGCCATAGCAGTGGAGTGTTGCTTGCGGAAACCAAACTGGTGCGAGTGGAATACATTGTGACATTCTGATATACATTATTTTTTCGAGTATTTTAGAAAACGATGGTAGCAGACTAATCGGTCTTTAGTTCCCAAGATCTGAGAATATATGGGCCAGAATATCAATGATATGTTCTGGAACATGTTTCAATATTTTGAAAGGAATGCCATCGATTTCAAAACTTGATTTGGGCTTCAGCTCGCGTATACTGTTTCTGATTTCTAGTGATGTTGTTGCTCTTGAAAACATAGATGAGAATTCTTTCTTCTTCCCAAGCTATGAAAGGTGGTTTTTATCACAGCTAGCTGGTTGATGTATAATATCAAGTAAGCTTTGTGCCATTTGGGAAAAGTGTTCATTAAATTTCTTTACAATTTGTGTACTACTGCGGTCAGGTTCAACAAAGGGACAAGAATTAGTTTTACCAATTAGCTCATTAATTGTTTTCCACACTGCCTTGATGTTGCCTTTGTGTGAGGCAAATTTAGACATATAATAATTTAATTTCCTTTTTTTTTGAGTAGCCGACCATTCATTGTACTGTAATTTGTGCTTGTCATCAATATTTTTATTAGTATCCTATATAGTTTTTGTTTGACTTAGCAGAGAATTTGTTAAAGGATTTGTTGGGATCCTGGATGCTGTTGAAATCATCAATATCAATAGAGTCCAATCTATGCATAAAATCGGATTCGGAGTATTCAAATCGGATGAGGTGAACTGACGATGGAGTGTTTCAATTCTATTTTGAATTTGCTTTTCTAGGAGAGAACATTGTACAATTGGCAGATGGTCAGAAATACTATTTTTTGTCATATACATTTGTCCA